AAGGTAGATACCTTAAGGAGTGGCTAGGTTAAAGCTGTCTAGGAATCTAAGGTCTTTTTTTCTCTCTCTCTTCCTTTCTTCCTCCCTCCCTCCTTCCCTTCTTCCCTTCCTTCCTTCCTTCTTTCTAAAATCTGTATATAATGTTTAGAACATTGAGACTTTCTTCCTGGGCTCCATTGAACTCATATTTTCTGTTTAAAGCTTCATTCAACAAATGTTTCCTGAGTGCTTACAGTATTTGAGGGCTGGATGGGAGGTGGGTGACGCGGTGGTGGATAGGATAGTGGATGGAAGAGGAAGAGTGTAAACTTTGACGTGAAACAGACCTCGGTGGAGCCCATTTGTTAGCTCCCGTTTTTTCAGAATGTTCTCTGTGAGCTCAGTTCCCATGTGTAAAAATGAACATAACAGGAGTGGCTAAAACAGCATTAAATGTTAAAACAGAGTTATCATAACAATCAACAGCCATTATTATTTAGCTGGGGATGGGATACAAAGAAGATTAGGACAGTCTAGTGCAGGGGCTCCTAATTAGGGACGATTTTGCCCCCCCCCCGGGGAACATTTGGCAATGTCTGGAGACAGTTTTAGTTGTCCCATTTGCAGGGTGGCATCTAGTGGGTAGAGACTACAGGTGCTGGTAACCATCCTGTGATGCACGGGGCAGCCCCACAACAAAGAATTGTCCAGCCCCAAATGTCAATAGCGTTGCCCTTGGTCTAGTGAAGGAAAAAAAATTGAAATATGCTATATATTTTATACAACAAGGAAGTGAGCTTGAGGAGAGGCTGGGCAGACCCGTCTGGTTGCCTATCCGATATCCATGCTCTTTTTTTCTATCATCATCGTGGTTGAGGCAATGTGCCCAAAGGAGAAACTACATTTCCCAGCTTCCCTTGCAGATTGGGGCAGCCAGTGGCATGAAAGAGGAAGTTGTTGGATGGGGCCCTTTGGGAAAAGAGCACGCCTGTGCTTTGCCTCTTTGTTTTTGCTGCGAGATGGGCTGGTGGGAACCTTGTGTTTAGGATGATGGAGCAGAAAGATGGGAAGAGTCTAGATCCTTGATGACTGTGGAATTCCCACACCAGCCCAGAACTGCTTCTTTCCAGGCTTTTTTTTTTTGCGGTCCGCGGGCCTCTCACTGTTGTGGCCTCTCCCGTTGCGGAGCACAGGCTCCGGACGCGCAGGCTCAGCGGCCATGGCTCACGGGCCCAGCCACTCCGCGGCATGTGGGATCTTCCCGGACCGGGTCACGAACCCGTGTCTCCTGCATCGGCAGGTGTGGCAGTAATTATTAAACTTTATGGGGTACAAACTCCACTGAGAATTTACCCTAGAACTCTGAACTCTTCTCCCAGAAAAATGCACATATATGTGTAATGACGCAGAGACAATGTCATTTTTAGCAGCTGTAAGCATTCTTTACAAGTAGAGATCCATCTTTGTTGCAAAGAATATCAAAAGTGAAGTTTTAATCAAAACACCAAAATCTGACAGATGTAAAATTCCAAAGCCAGATCACTGTGTGCAGACTTTTTAAAGGAAATGGTTGGAAAGTGGTTCCACTAAGTCCTCAATTTTCTCACCCACGTGGAGACCATGAAAGTATAAGATTTGGGTTTATGAAGAGATTTCTTTGGGGAGCATTGTTACCCTACTGCGAATGCCCCCCCACCCATGCCCACGTGCTGGGGATTACTGAGTCCATTACTCTTCAGGGAGGATCTTCTATACGATGAGGAAATGTGTTCCATGTGGTTGAGAGAAACAAAAAATTGGTGCTCAACTCCAGGTCAAAAAGCTAAAGAGTCTGGGGGCAACAAAATAGAAGAGGCATGTTGGGATCACACCTAGTGTGGAGGGCGAGCTGTGGGTAACCAGGTATGAGCTGCAGGGAAGAGAGATTTGCAGAAGCTGTTTTGAGTCCTACTCGAGAGGACCCCTAGAAGACCATGTCCCAGGGTGAGGGCTGAGGCCAGCCATGATGCGTGGTACCGTCCTCTGGGTCCTGAGAGTGAATCCATACACCCTGGCAAGAACTGTTCTATAACTCCTTCCTTCTCATCTCAAATTCTCTTCCATCCCAGAAGAGTCCAACAGAGCTAGAGAGTGAGGAAGCAGTTGAGGTTGGAAAAGAGAGCAGAAGTCGATCTCATTCCTGTCCCCCAACTCAGACCTCACATGGTGAGGTGAAGATGAATGAAAGAATGTAGATTGAAACGTTGATTACGATGGAATTGAGACTGTGCATTTTGACTTAGGCCAAAGAACAGCTAAGAGCATCAGGGAATTTCCTGGCATCTGGCCAAGTTTCCATCCAGGGCCAGGGGAAGATTTCTGCACATCTCCTTCCCCACCCTTTACATTTTAAAGGGGGTAGTGAGACACACACAAAAAATTGCATTTTGACTACATTTCATGAATTGTGCAGTTATATTTTTTACCCACTGTGGGATGTAAGTAGACCTCTCAGGCCTGTGTGACAGGTTGGCCCTTGTGTTTCATGTAGAAAATGAAAGCTGCCCTGATTAATAAATGGGGGAGGGGGCACTGGATTTTGGGAGAGTAGGCAGAGGAGCCAGCAGGACTGAGATGGGGGGGAGCAGGACAGACTACATAATTTGTGGGGCCCGATGGAAAATGAAAAATGCAGCACTCGTTCAAAATTATTAAGAATTTCAGGACAGTGACAATAAAGCACTTAACCAAATGTGGGGCCCTGTGCACCTACATGGGTCACATGCCCATAAAGCCACCCCAGTGAGCATCAGAGGTTAGAAGAGGAGGAGACCCTGCTAGGGGTCCAGGTAAAGAGAGACTTGGGAGAAGAAGCTTGTCTAGTCAAGACTTTTTCAGTGTAATGATGTGCAGTGTGATTGCCTCTTTGAGATCCCACAGATCTGCAGAGAGATCGCAAACTTCCTTACGTGAATGGATTTCTTGTAGAAGCTGGTGAAGGGGGTGGCAAGTGGCTAAAACAGAGTAAGCTACCTGGTTAAGGGGACAGCTGGTTATTCACCTAACGTTTTCCATAAATTTCAAAGGTTTAGGTAAAGAACCCATGTTCTACGACAAGAGATTTCCTTGCATCATGTAGTATCAAGGGATCGATTGGCCTTTTTGTTTATTTATTAGTGCAGCAGGATGTTGCATACTTTCACTTTGCTCAGGATGGGCAATGGGGACCAAATCTGGAAGTACAGAGGCTCTAAATACTTGACATTGTAATGGAAACCATGGATGGCGGGGTCCAGACACTCCTTCTGGGTTTAAGAAGAGATGGCAGAGCCACATCAGCCCCTGCTGTGGCCCATGCCCCTCCCAGCGATGTATGAGAGGTTGACTGGGAGGGGGCTGCTGCAGCTGCCCCTCACCCCGAAACCAAGCAAGAGAGGTTCCTAGAAAATCACTCGTACAGAGTGGGATCACGAAGCAGATCACCCATTTCTGATGGGTAGTTTGTATTGGCAGTAGGCTTGCTGATCGGCCTCTGCCCCTCCTAAGCAGGGCAAAGGGGGTTGGAGACAGATGGGGGCTGTGGTGGGGCAGCCGAGGAGCAGCTTCAGTCCTGCCTTGGCATGACAAGGCCATCTGCCTTTTCTATAGATGAAGTGGATGCTGAGAAGGTAGCTGTCTTGAGCCTTTCTTTCTGGCAATAAGAGGCCGTGGAGAGTACAGGTGGGATGAGGGTGGTTGGAAGAGATCAAGGAGCATCCAGGTCTCTTAGATCACTGACCTAGGCAGTGTGAAGTTCCCTCAGTGCTTCCCGAAGAACTCCCTTGTAGAAGAAGCAACATTGTATAGAGAGGATGAGACAGGGACTCTTGATTCCCAACCCCATCCTGCCCACCCCCCTCCCTTGCCCACCCAACACCCTGGAGAAGATAGGAGAGATTTTTTTCCAGAGACCTACCATTTTCCCTCCCACCACCCTACCTCGGGCGTGAGAAAGGGCCGGAAGAGAAAAAGAGCAGCCTTGCTCCTTTCCCACTTCACGTCCTTCCAGCCCCCAGCCCTGCCAGCAATGGGGGAGGAGAAACTTTCCTTTGGATATGAGGCTGCCATCTTCAGCTGGACTTGACTGAGTTTTTTAATATCAAGAAGTGACGAGGAAGTTTTAGAATCTGTCCAGGGTATCATTAAGGTGGTCTCTACCCAGCAGGAAAAGGAGATTCAACACAGCCCAACTGGGGGCAGGATGGGAGAGAATTAATACCATTTCTGGCTTGCACCCTAAGGAATTGAGGTTGCTCAATAAACTGATTAGTATCTGACTAAGGACTTCTCATTCTATGACAGAAGTTGAATCACTGTGCATTCGCGTGGTGGTGTACTGTGTTTATAAATTGTTAGTTTTAAGAGTGTGATTAGATTTTCTCTGCAAATCAAAAACTTGAAATATTAAGTGAGGAGAAAAGAGACACACCAGAAGGCAAATTTCCAGATATAGATAGAAGAGACACTTAGGTATCTAATAACTGTCTTTCTCTTTTATCTTTCTTTTAAAAAAATTTTTCAATCTATCATGGATTCACTAACAGTTGATGCAATGGCAGAAATAGGTGTATAAAAATATTTGTAAATAATTTATTATTCACGTTCATTTATTTGTCAAACATGTTATTCTGTTAAATTATTTAATATTCATCATAAAATTTGCCAGGCTACTCCTCTATTTAATTTTTTACTTAAGTGTGACTGTGTTCATACGATAGCGGTGTGGCAAATCAGTCTCTCTCTCTCCTCTTCTCCCCATTACTAGAGGCTTCTTAGGTATATTCAATGCTCTTTTTATTTAGACAAAATTACTTCATCTTTCATTTCATCTTTACAATATTCTTTACATTTTTTTAAAACTTTCAATATATTAGCTGTACTGAGAAGGAAAAATTGCTGTGAATGATAATCTATTAAGAGAGGGCAATGACTTCATGCCTTGTTGTCTTCACCTCAGAGTTGTTACAGCTTTATGTCGTCTTTAGGAACAGGCTCCAGATTTCTTATTTTTCTTGTTTCAATTCTGCATCATCTATTTTCTTCAATCCCAGTCTCCTAAAATGTAAGCAGTACAAAATATTCTCATCCATCACAACAATAGCATGTAAAAGAAAGCATATGCAAATGCAGGTCGTGACCCTAATTGCCTAATTATACCTGAATTGAATTGTGTTGCACTTGAAATGAGTGAGATGTTGATGGGATCCTGAATTTGTCATGGGCACTTAGAATGACAATGTTACCGTTGACTCATCTCTCTCCCTCATCACCACCCCACTCCCAACATCTGATTAGTTGCCAACCTCTACCTGTACAATATCTCAGGACCTCAGCAGAAACATCAGTGGTTCTCCTTTTCCTGATAAACAACATTCAGAATATTTTATGTGGCTCTGAATATCTGCACCCTCTGCTCTTACCCCACCCTTCTTGTCTTCTTTCCTCTTCTCACCAAACTGAGCCCCAGCTCTTCTTGGCTCACCTTGCTTTGTGCCTTTGCTCATACTCCTCTCTTTGCCTGAAAATACCCTCTCTCTTCCCTCTAGTCTCTGAATGTTCAAAATAGAGTCACCATTCAAAGTCCAACTCATGAAATATCCCTGGATTCCCACATGAAGAAACATTCTTTTTTTTTGATTCTCTGTAAGACCTTATTAGTGCCTCTCATATCATTTCATTTATCCTATCAAATATTGAGGGCTTACTACCTGCCAGACAGTTCTAGGCGTTGGGAATATGACAATGGACAAAACTTATGGGATTTATAGAACTGAAATTCTAATAAAAAGCATGAACCCTAAATATATAATATGTCAGATGAGGATAAGTACCATGGTAAAAATAAATCAGGAGTGCTCTGAGAAGCTCTCACTGATAAGATGTCACAACCTGCCTCCTTATTTCCTTCAGATCTTAACCAAAGGGTCAGGTTCAATTTTATATAAAAAATTTTTTTTAACATATGCTCTGTACTAGAACATAATAGTAGCTTATTAAATTTTTGAACCTCTTGTGGTAGCTTGTGCTCTGATTTGTACTAGTATATAATTCAATAAATATATATCAATATAAAGAATGATTATAATAACAGGAATTATTTATAAAATGAGATCCTGGAAAAAGAAATTTTGATTTAAAGTTGAGGAAAAAGATCTTCTGAATTTGAGACCTGGGTTATTGAGATGGTGTCCTTTGTACCTGCAGGCAACTCCGTCATGCAGGACCTTTTATGGTAGAGAGGTCAAATGTTGGACGATATGTCATAGGCATGAATTCCCGATTCTGTCATCGCCTGTTACTACTTAGTGAGTGACTGTAGAGTAATGAGAGGGATGCCCATATGTGGCTTAGGGGAAGTTATCTCATTATTTCATACCTGTAGTCATGATTATAACTGACCTTCTATAGCTCTCACTTTACAGGTGTTTATTTCCCTGTGCCTTTTCCTTTTGCCTTCCAAGAAACCTAACTTTCTTAGAAACTTCTTTCGAAAACACGTAAGCCTTTTTAAACTTTCCGGATTAGCTCTACATAACTGCCTATGCATTTTAATTGGTATTCAAGTACTTACCTTAGGTTCTTTTGATTAGGATTCTGGATTTCTTGGGGCTGGCAGGTCACGGAGTAAAGTAACCCATTGGCAGATGATGAATGCATGGATTGTTGGAGCAAATCACTCAGTGTCTTGGTGACACTTTTGGCTATTGTTGTTCTCCCAAACCTTTGGGGCAGATTAGGAACATGTCTCGAGATGCTGTCCTCTGTATTGCTTCCAAATCTCAGAGGCGGGTTGGCCATCGCCCCAGTGCTTCTTTCTTCTTCCATGGTCCTCCCAAATCTCAGTGGCAAGTTGGCTACTGAGGGTGGCATTTTGTTGACTGCAGGTGTACTCATCTTAATGACGTTTTTTGGACCCCAGTCTTTTAACTCTTCAAAATTGAGACTTCTTTCTTTTCCCCAGCAGAGATCTCCTCTAGGCTATAATTAGAAATAACCATTAAAATAACATTATTATTATAAGCAATGGATTTAAACCCCAAATTAAGTTAAATCCAGACTTTAATCTGTAGGATTGTTAAAGCTATGAACAAAGTTTGTGCTTTCATGTGCAGAATTTTTAAAATAAATAATTTGTATTAAGCTTCTTAAAGCAATCTAGTTTCACCGTCCCTGGACTATTGTAAGACAACTCTAAAATATTAATAAAATATATACAGTGCATGCAGCAATGTGTTCGAGCAGCAAGAACATAATGAAGTAGTGAAATGAGGCAAAAGTTTATTCTACTGCAGTTATTCTCCTTCAGTTTTGATTCATGTTGTTTATGAACTATTTCATAGATTTTTATATTTTGTTTTTAGAGACACCTCCCACTGCCTCTCCATTTCTCTTGTTTCCCTCCTCTTTAAAAGCCAAAGTGGTGGGCTCATGAAAGCAGAGATGCTAGCCACATTTTGGGGTACAGCTGGAGGAGACTTCTTTTTTACCTGTTCATATTCAGAGTTCCACTCTAAAAGCATTTCTCAAGAAATTGATTGCATTTTTGTCAGTATGTAAATTATATTAGTAAAACACCGATTGCTTTGTGGGTTACTACACCACTACTATACCAACTTTAAAGCAACCACTTAAAATACGGCAAATATTTAATTGGATTTAGTTTTACCATGAAAGTTTGTCCATATGAAGATTTTTAAATAACTGTTTTCTGATTGTAAAAAGTAATACCTATTCATTTCAGCAAATTTGGGAAATTCTATAAAGGCATAGAGAACAAAATAAAAATAACAGGGAATTCCACCATCTAGGGATAAACATTTTGCTTTGATATAGAAAGACAATTCAAATGTCCAGCTGAAATGTATCCAGTACTTATTTCTGCAACTACTTATTACAGCTGTGCACTTCTGAGTCAAATCGAAAATTAATGCGCCTTATGCTTGCAAAGTATCAAACTCTGCACTAAAATGGTCGTGAGAGGCCAAGCTGTGTGCTGTTGTGCTACCAAATACATGGCAGCCGTACGCTGCCATGCGAAGGCTGAAGTGTGACAAAAAACAAAACACAAACTTCTTCCTTACTCTTTACAAAAGCACTGGACTCAGGACAGATGTTCAGTAGTTTATGCTAGTCATGTTAGATAGAGTTAAAAACTTACCTCAGAATATTTGTCATAATTCTTTTTGCTGTGAAGATTGGGCATCATTGATTCATCTGAACAGAAGATGTTTGATGTTAATAAGATTGAGGTGGCTAAAGTCAGTAAAATGAATTGTTTTGATGAAATAATTTCCATTTTGTCCAAAATCTAGAGTTAAGTTTATATGTGCAGCCTGATGTCTATATGAAGGGAGATTGTGGTCTTTTTATCCTGTCCAAAAACAAAGGAAAGTTCACTTTCACAGCGAACTCAATCCCACGTGTTTTAAGCACCAACATTAATTAGTGTTTAACTGAAATATGTATGTAAGGAATGTGGGTAATTCATTCTAGGAAGACAGCAACGTTTCTGCTTGCAAATTCATTAACTTTGAAAATAATTTTCTTCCTTATGAAGAAGCATTTAATTAGATAAGTTTGGGGCCATCGTCATTAAGATTCCAAACAGAATGCTTCATTTCTCTGAGCTCAAACAAGAAGTATTTTCTTTTTGGTGTTTACGTCAATTCTTGGGAGAAGGAAAGAAAAGTATTCAATACATGCTAGCTCTGTTTAAAAAAAAGTGTTTTTTTTCACACAAAAGAGTTAGGCGTAGTATTTTCAAAATGTCAGACAAAATTACAAGTGTGAAAAGAATTCCAAATCACATAAGACCCAAATAAAATGCCATTAATTAACTTTTTGTAAAATGCTGTTTGGTTATTAAAAAGCTTCAGGAGTAAATGTCAACTGTAACGTGGAGGGTGTGCATAAGACCCAGCGATTGGCATTTTGACAAACTGGCTATCTCAGGAGAAGCTCGAGGCAGCTCAAGGCTTTTTGTATTTGCCCTGTGGGCCTTATTTGGCAAAACTGTATAAATCACTGGGATTTTATTTCTATGACGATGCCGCATCCTACCTTCCACCTCAAACCCCTTAAGAACCCTGGCAGAGGATTGGTAAATCACGCACATGCTAATTTTGTTGCTCCCCTGGCCCATATTATTTAGGTAATGTTGTGGTCTGTGCACGGGTTGGAAGAAGAATTTCCAGACACGAAGTATTTTAGAAAAGAGTGAGTTTATTGAGAACAAAGAGCAGAGTTAGTGGTGGGCGCTACAGATACAGCCGGTTGGCTCTCCCTGGTCTATCAGGAAGTCCGCCCGCTGTATCTCCTTTCTTTCTTTGCCTGCCCAAGTCGCATGGTGCATGGTGCATACCTCAGTTGCATGGTTTGTGCCTTAGCCACACGCTCAGGGGTCATCTCTCATGGTCAAGATGTGATTGTTGGCACAGTCGGCCCATTTTGTGCCTTAGTCGTGCGGAGAGATCACTGGGACAAAGGGAATGCCTTTCGTCAGCCAGTGACTCTCAGTACCCCCATTCTACGGCATACAGGTGAAGAATGGGTTCTGGTACGTCTCGGGAGCCTCCCTCAGACTCACCCCTCGGCTGTATCCTTAGGAACTGGAAAAATTTGACCCTGAAAATCTCAAAAAGAAGAGGCTCATTTTCTTTTGTAACATGGCTTGGCCCCAGTTTACATTGGTGAACCAAGAACAATGGCCTCTTAATGGCACACTAAATTATAACACGATCCTCCAACTTGATCTCTTTTGCCAGAAACAAGGAAAGGACTCAGAGGTTCCTTATGTCCAGACCTTTATGGCCCTTAGTCAGAATCCGGATCTGAGGGACTCATGCCGCATGTGTCTTTCTGTTGCCGCCTTATCCCCCCGACCCCTTTTGTCTCCCTCTCTAGCAGATCTCCTAGACGACCCTCTACTCGACCTTTCCTGTCCCCCACCTCATCAACCCCCTTTGTTTCAGCCCCCGCCCCCGCCTCAACCCACAGCTCCCCAACAGGCACCCCCTTATCGGGGCGAAAGCCCCCTTTCCTCACACAGGATCAAGAACTGCCCAACTCCAGGAAACAGGTTCTAATATGCTCCCCCTAAGGGAAGTAGCAAATGGAGACGTGGGCATTATTAGAGTCCATGTTCCCTTTCCCATGTCTGACATTTTCCCAAATTCAAAACAAGTTAGGTTCCTTCAGTCAGGATCCCACCACTTTTATTAAGGAATTTCAGGCCCTCACTATAGCCTTTGACCTGACCTGGCAAGCCATTCACATAGTCCTGACCACTTGTACTCATGAAGAGAAAAACAGGATATGGGCATTAGCCCAAGCTTGGGCAGATGAGTCACAGCTCTGTTTCCAAAACCTGGATGGATGGGGACCCATTTGGGGCTAGCTAAATGACTCTCTTTGTAACTACACCCTCAATTTTAATCAGACTAGCCTGGAGTGGAATCCCTGGTCAGAGGAAAATAAATATGATGTACATGAAGGTAATTTCACTTTGTATTGGGGAAATTCAAGGAAAAATGAGACTAAGAAATATATTAATGAAGACCATATACCCATAAATTGCTCGGCCCTGGGAACTAAATATGTGGGGATCGGTGTGACCACCCGACACTTACTTAGTTTAACCTCCCGACAAGACTTTCCTCCAAAATATAACATAATTCAACTAATATTTAGAAATTTGTTATGCCAATCCCCCCATCACACTCATAATCAGTCAGAGCCTGGCTTCTCCCCTTTATGTATAGATGATTATTTCCTCAGTGCCTGGCCTTCCCAATGTAATCCTAGGCCATGGGACCCCAGTCTATTTCCAGAGGAAAACTCCCAAAACGTCAGGGCCTGGCTCTGGGGACCCACGACAGGGGTATCCTTGAGGTGCACCAGATTTTCATTTCTATGCAGTAACAGGGTCTGTATGGATCTTCCCACACTTTGGAGGGGCTCCTGCACAATTACTGTGGTGGTCCCAGAGGTGACCATTATGACTACAAAGGATTTAGCTTCCTTAGGCATTCCCAACCTTGGGTCCTTCCTCGAGGAGGCCTTCAGACCTGTCTGGGAGAGACAAAAACAAACCACTGATTGGGGGGACATGCTTATGATAACCCAGTTCTTGAACTGCCTGAAATAATACACAGCGTTTTCAGAGGGCTCTTTGGTTTGCAGGCATACCCCTCTTAGAGAGGAGCGTTCTCCATCTCACCATCATGGTCCAGGAATCTTGGAATGCTACAGTAGCAGCCATTGAGGAACAGCAGTCAGCCCTAGGCTCTCTGGCCAAGGTGCTTTTACAAAATAGGAGGGCCCTTAATGCTATAACAGCTGAGGTGGGAGGTGTCTGTGCCCTACTAAATGAGACAGGCTGCTTCTATGTTCATACCTCTGGCCAGGTTGAAGAAGACCTTCAGAGTCTAAAGAAAAAGATCAAATTAACAGAATATTTAAAAGAGAGAGCAGAACAGTGCCCCAGCTGGCTTTCCAGCCTCCTCTCCTCTATGGGGATCCAGATATGGACATGGCTGTTTCCCTTGTCGGGACCATCAATCCTGATAGCCTTTGTTTTGTTGTTTGGACCCTGCATATGAACACATTATCTAAGTTCATCTCCCAACAGGTTCAAAAGATTCAATTCCAGATGGTGCTACAACAAGGATACCAGCCAGTTGGCACATGGACTATGTTGGAGCAAGCCACCTTATCATTCCGCGGGCTCTCATCTCCCTCCGTAAATACACCCTGACAGAGAGCGGGTATCGGGAACCCAGGACCCCTATAACGCCCCTGTCCAGCAGGAAGAAGCTAGGAACGGTCATCACCCCTTTCCCCAATAACCTGGGCTCCTCTGGCCGGAGATGGGGATAGGTAGATAGTCAGTCATGAATGGGGTATTAAGGGGCCAAAGATTTGGCCCATAAATAAAAAGAGGGGAGAATGTGGAACCCTGCATCAAGGACACCGTACATCAAGGACACAGGACAAAAACTCTGGAATTAACCAATCCCCCATAACAACTGTTGCCATGGGCTCTCCTGATCTAAACTGGACAGCCCCCCGACTCCATATCAGGTAAAATATTCACCATGTAACAACCTTATAGCATCCTGACCAATCACCTAATGCCATCCTGCCAGCAGGAATTTTCTTTGTCTTGAGGCTATAAAAGTTGGCTACTAGCCCGCAAAGGGGGTCGACTTTCCCTGGCTACCAGGAAGTCGGCCCGCTGTTCTTGCAGTGACCCTTCTCTTTTATAAACTCTGTCTTCCTTACATTCTGCCTTGTATCTGGAAATTCTTTTCCAACCTGTGCTTGGACCACAACAGGTAATCTCGCATTGCCACAGGCGCATGGACATCACGGCATAAGAAAAGAATTTACAGAAATAAATGCTTATTTACTGAAATGTCAAAGCAGGTCTCTTTTGGAGCAGCTGACTGGTATTCTATTTACTTATTCATTTGGCTGCCTTTCATCTTTTTTTTTTTTTTTTTTTTTTTTTGCGGTACGCGGGCCTCTCACTGTTGTGGCCTCTCCCGTTCCGGAGCACAGGCTCCGGACGTGCATGCTCAGCGGCCATGGCTCACGGGCCCAGCCGCTCCGCGGCATGTGGGATCTTCCCGGACCAGGGCACGAACCCGTGTCCCCTGCATCGGCAGGCGGACTCTCAACCACTGCGCCACCAGGGAAGCCCTGCCTTTCATCTTTGTTGCTACACCCGGTCTTTCTCTAGTTGTGGCAAGCGGGGGCTACTCTTGGTTGTGGTGCATGGGCTTCTCATTGTGGTGGTTTCTCTTGTCGTGGAGCACAGGCTCTAGGCGCGTGGGCTCAGTAGTTTTGGCTCACGGGCTCTAGAGCGCAGCCTCAGTAGTTGTGGCGCACAGGCTTTGTTGCTCCGCAGCATGTAGGATCTTCCCGGACCAGGGCTCGAACCCATGTCCCCCGCGTTGGCAGGCTGATTCTTAACCGCTGCGCCACCAGGGAAGTCCCTGACTGGTATTCTTAAAGACCTCCTTTATCACTAGACTGCCTAGGTTCTAGAGAAATCATTATTTGTTCCCACCTCTCCATTCAGCCCTCTCAGGAGAAAAAGACCTTGCACTGATCGATTTCTAACACTCCAGCTACTTCTAGATACAGGCACTTAGAGGTGAATTCACAAAAGAACAAGTCATAAAATTGCACCTTTTATGTCAAGAATTGTACCACCTCTAGCTTCTCTCACCAACCTACCATAATTTGAGGTATGAGATGGGCAGAAGTGAAGACCTTTCTCTCTATTAAAGATCTACAGAATAAATCAGAAAGTTGAAAAACAATTGTGGGTAAACTCTTG